GCAGCCCATTTCTTCTGCAGAGAGGTCTGACCCTGCCACCCCTCTCCTGCCTCTGGGCAGCCAGTGAGGAGGAAGGTGGGCCTGGGAGGTAGGGTTGGGGTCTCCCAGCATATGCTATCCTCAATAACCTGCCCAAGGCTTTTATTCCCGTGCCATGAAAGCCTCCAGCAAATGCTCTGGCAAAACTCCCACATTTACCGCTGACACCAGCCCCCGAGCAACAGAAATGTGGAGGAAGGGAGTTTGTTACGACTCAGCACGGCTGAATCTTACTTCACTACACAAAAGCAAGGCAAAGCAGAAAAGGCATCACAGGGCAAGCAAGGGAAAGTTTCCCGAGTCAGCAGGCAGGGTGTGAGCTGTGAACACCTCGCCGCAGGAATCAGCAGAGCGGCAGAGATTTGTTTGCCGACAAGTCAGGTGGAAGCCCTCAAGATTGCGGGTTTGAAATACAGCAAAAGGGAGAGATGCAGCTTCATCCCAGGGCTAGAAGTTTCTGGCTAAAAGCTAGAAGTTTCAACCAGCCTGAATCAGGGAGAAAACCAAGAGACGGCAGCCTGGAGCACCGAGGGAGGTTAAAAAACTGTGCATCACTTCACCTGAAATGTAGGAAGCAGAGAGAAGCAATAAAAAGTAAGGAGAGCTGGAGCCAGGCAGGTTACCAGCTTTGGTCTAGGGAAGAAGCATGTGCACAGGCTGCAGGACATGTCAGGTTTTCCAGAGCAATGTATAGCTGGAATAGGGTTAAAGAAGGGGGAAAACCGCACAGTGTAAGCCAGCCGTGCCCTCCCCTGTGAAGCCCTCGCCGCAGCAGGGCTGCTGGGGTGCCCGGGAGGGGGTCACAGCTCCTCATCAGTCTTTGGCATCCCCAGACTCAGCATTTCTGTTAAATTGGGTCATTCTGTCCAAGGAGGAGTGGTCCCTGGAAGCACTTTTTTCCCCTTTCTCCCATCTCGCAAACTTGTGCCGAGTTTTTCTTTTAAGCTTTCCCAGCCGGTTGTCCCTGTGGGTGCAGAGGGACCTCTGGCCACCTCCACCCAGGAACAGCAAAGACTCGCACAGCTACAAGCATGCAAGAACAAGGAGGGTAATATATTTTACTCTGTCTGCAACCGTAGTGATGACAGGAGCAGCCAGCACCAAGTATAAAAAATAGCAAATCAGTGACACCACGTCCTTTAGGAAAAGCCTTTACTCATAAATCAGTGGCTCTCCACAGGAACCGCGCTCCAGTCAGAGATAAAAAAACAGCAGCACAGTCCCGGGGTGGATAGAAATGGGAGAAGAGAAGTGGAAAAAGAGGGCAGAAGAGTAGAAAGGAAAGAAGTCAATGAGGACAAAACAATAAAGCAAAGGAAAATAATTCAGGCAGGTTTCTTTTGCAGTCACCCTCGCGCTAGGCACCAGTGGGGGCTGAGCTCTCAGGCAGCCCTTGGTGCACCTCAGCACTCAGGGTAGGCAATCAAACCACTGGGGACCCCTGAGCAGCCCTGGGAGTGCTGAGCTCATGCACCCGGGGACAGTGAAAACCTCCCGAGTCACCATCCACACCGCCCGACACCTGAGTTGTGGTGACTCTGAACTTCCCTGGGGCTAAGCTAGCTCTCGCCTGTACGAGGGAAGCTCAGGCACAGCCGTGGCTGCCTGTCGGGTGGTTTTTCCATGTTCAGGACTTTTTCTTGTCTCCCTCCCAGCCCCGAGACCTGGCTCGAAACAGTTTCTGGCTGTCGCTCGCAGCCTGCGAGTCCGCTGTCGGTGTGCCTGCGGTGACTGAGCCAAGCAGTCCATGCAAACGTAAGGCTACGGGAGAGGAGAGGACATACCTTCCTGCGGAGCATTCGTGTCCCACACAGACCACATCTGCACAAAGAAAAAAGGAGTCCAGCACACTATGAAAGCTAACACTATGATGAAGGTCATTTTGACTGTCCGGATCTTGGCTTTGGAGATGAGTCTGGTGCTGCTGACCCTGGCAAATGCCATCCCGCTGCGGGAGCCGGAGCTCAGACCCGTGTTGGGCCCGTGAGCTGTCTTAAGCTTCACGTTCTGCCAGATTTTGAAGCTGATTAAGCCATAGCAGATGCTCAGCATCAACACGGGGATGATGTAGACCATGAGAGTTATCCAGGTGACATAGGCTTTAGGTCCCCAGGGCTGGATGAAATCTGCCCAACAGTCATAAACCCCATTCCCCACATCCCTCAGAGAAAATATGTGGATCTGAGGGATGCTGACCAGCAGGCACAGCAGCCAGGTGAGAAGGACAGAGACCCGGTCCGCTCTCCTGTGCAGAGACCTCAGAGGCTGACAGATGGCCAAGCAACGGTCCAGGGACATCAGCAAGAGCATGTAGGTGGAAGCAAACATCCCCACTACCTGCAAGTACTTGATCAACCGGCAAAGGAAATCTGGCCCATAAAACCTGAAGGTGATGTCCCAGATGAGCTGGGGCAGCACCTGGAAGATGGCCACGACCAGGTCAGCAATGCTCAAATGCTTCATGAAGAAGTACATGCGGGAGTGCTTCTGCCGGGTGGTGTGGATGGCCAGCAGCACGCACAGGTTGCCTGTCAGGGCGAGGAACAGGATGAGGCAGAGGACTGTCACCTCCACCTTGGCCATGTCCTCGTTCCTCTTCAGGGGGTCCGTGGTGCTGTTCCTCCCGGAGGTCTGGTTCTCCAGGCGGAGGCTGCCGTTCCCCAAAGAGCCGTTGGTCGTCCATACGCTGCTCCCCGCCAAGTACAACTTCTCCATGGCCAGCTCCGTCCCACATAGAGCCTGGTAGCAGAGAGGGTGGGTGGCAGATGCTCTGCGAACGCGTCCCGGTTCGAGGCGGCCGCGTCCCCGCTACGGCTCTCCCTGCGCTCGCCAACCCGGGCCGCCCGCTCCGTCCCTGCCCGCTCC